CAGAGAAAAACGAGAACGAAGAAATTTGTTTTTCAGGGCTGCGAAATAAAGGCTTTCGTTAATAAGAACATTCTTTATTGACAAAGTGTCCGTCTTTTTATCTGAATTTTTTAAAGTAGATTTCTTTAATTCAAAGTATGTTCATTTTACTCATATCTCATCTGGGCTGAGTAAAAGTTGCTCGATTAATTGAAACGGAGGTCGAACCTTTGATTAGATCTGAACGAGAAAACACTTAAAAGAGCTCTTATTGATAGTCCAGACAAGAATAATTCACTGATCACGAAAATAAAGAGAAGCTTTGGTGACTACTTATTCAAAAATTAGTTTGTATCTCTATTAGAAATTTAATACTAACTTAAAATTGTCAAAGCATTTTGAAAATATGGTATTTTTTATTTTTCTCGAAGCGCCCAGTAAGAGCTTGTGAACCGAACTGTTTTTTTCAAACGATCGAGCTAGTATATATAGAATTCCAAGTTCTCATGCAAAAACTATTTACCTATATATGTATCTTATAGTGTAATCATTTCTTCAAACACATAAAATAAGATTTCATACTGTATTGTTCTGAATACTTTTTAGACATTCTTCGATTGTACTCATATAGTGAATTTAAGAAAAAAAATGGGGAATTCTTCCTATGTTTAAAAAAAGTGAAAAAAAAAACACTTTTAAGTATTTTTAATATTACTAATGTAACTTTTCCTACTATTTTTCACTTTCTAAAATACTTTCTCATATTTTTTCCTGTTTAAAAAGTAATTAATAGTACTTTTCTATTCCTATCGTAATAAAAGTGCTTTTTTGTTACTTTCAGAAGTACCTAATAGTACTTTTTCATTTCATATAGTATAAAAAGTACCTTTTGATAGAGTATGAGTGTGCAAAAGAAAAATAGTCACACCCACACCTACACTCACACTCTCATACTCCACACGTACATCCACTAGAAACCTGGGAGGCAGGTTTTTTTATTCAGAAACCCGACTCCGAGAATTTCTATTTTTTTGACTTCGATTCCAACTTCGCAAAACTCTGATTTTTTTTCTCGAAAACAGATTACCTCTAATGTATTTTATTGTTTAATTTTGAACATGTATAGGTTGATAAACAAGCAAAGGAGTAAAAGAAAATCAAAGAATCATTAGAGGATTAATTTTGAATTTCTTCTTCATTTGTTGTGCAGTGAGAATAAAAAAAAACAATAACTAGGAAGTATTCGACATGTACTATGCCAAAGCAATAGAGTTCTACATGGAGTCGATTTCAGAGTCGTCATCAGAGTTAACTAAATTTTACACTAAAAATACCACTTTAGCATAGGAAATTTTTTGAATTGTAGGTTTTGTTCTCTGATATTTACTGTATAAACTGATGCGTTTTGAAGATTCCAACGACGTGTTATCAAAACCTATGGACATGAAAGAAAGTTGGAATGAAGTTCAACTCCGATTTTGTTCGATTTTGACTTTCTTTCATGTCCATAGATTTTGATAACACGTCGTTGGAATCTTCAAAATGCATCAGTTTATACAGTAAATATGAGAGAACAAAATCTACAATTCAAAAAATTTCCTATGCTAAAGTGAAATTTTTAGCATAAAATTTAGTTGACTCCGACGACGGCTCCGAAATCGAACTCGTGCAGGACTCTACCAAGCGATCGATAATTGATGATGGCGAGAATTATTGTACTTTGGATGATACTAAAATATTTTTTGATTAATGGCATCATGTTTTTATGAGGTTGATCTTTTGAATGTTATAGTTAAAAGGTGACCCATGTTTTGGTCCTGAAATTCATTCCTAGCATATGTAATGAGTGTTGTCTTTCGCTTTTTTGTTTGTTAATATGAAAAATAAAGTTATTGTAGTATCAAATAGTAAAAGTTCATTCGAGGTTGTTATAATTTCGACTCCGATTTAACTCCGAAAAATTTTTTCAATAAACCTGACTTCGACGGAGTTGGAATCGGGTTTCGGGGTTCCCTGCAGGTCTCTAAAATTCACATCCCACACCATATCCAACAGCACATCTTACACCCGCACCCACACTCCTACGATAGCTCTTGAAGAGTTACGGATATCCATCGGTGGGTCCTGAAGCGTTACTGTGTAGTGCTATTAGAACATGTGAAACATGGCCGACGAACAATTCATAGCTGGACGGACCACACCCTATATATATATATATATAGGTGTCACCACATGCTTCAGTTCTTTTCCATCCCGACTCAGGTTGCAATGAGTAGCCTTAGAAATTCACCAAAAAGTTTTCAGTATCCACAGATTGCTGCCAGAATTGTTTAGCTATCGATGACTAGCAATCAGTTTGTATCCTGACATAGACACACCTACATCTGTGAATTTACATCTGTAAAGATAAAAATTCTTCACCTGGCATCACAAATACCTTATGAATATCTTTTTCTTGAATATTTATGAATAATGTCATTTCTTCATCGAAATTTATCAATTCCTCTAAAAACAATTCTAAGACCTCTTTGCAACTAACCGCATTCTTCTAGATGATTTATATTAAGGGATCTAAGTTATCCTAAAAAACGCCTTTAATAGCCCGCATTCCTCAAACTATCTAAATAACTTGATTTCTTTATCCAAATGCATAAATCCTCATTAAAAAAGGCGTTTTAAGACCTCTTCTAATCAACCCCTTTGTTTTAGATGATATCAATGGAGAAATCAGAGTTTTTATGGAAAAACGCCTTTAAAGGCGTTTTTATTGATACTTCGTAAATATCGTGATTTCTTCATCGATATGAACGCCTTTAATACAATAAGGTACTGTGAAGCGTGTTTAATAACAAATTGCTTTGTACTAGGTGATTTTCTAAGATAAAAATACGTTTTTTCTGAAAAAAAGACCTATAAAAACGTCTGTTTATATGCATTACGGTTTTTGATTTCTTGCTGAACGTGAACGCTGAAATGAATACAGTGGGAAATAAAATTGTCCTGTTCGATTCATCAATAATATCTTTTTTTGTGACACTAATGACAGCCGTTCATGGCGATATTCGGCGGTAAATGCCGCCGCATACAATTGTATACACATAAACGAGGCCGCATTGTGGTACAAGTTTAGGCGCATTGAACGGCTGCGTTTTAACGTATACGGCACGGTATTATACAGCTGTAATACAGTCACTATCAAACGGGTGGAAATCAGCTAGTTTACGGTCGTAATTTCTACGTTTACGGCCGTTTATGACAATGTAAGCGGTCTTTTACGGTCTTCGTCCTAATCATCAACCTGAGTTATTTAAAAAGGCTCACTTATTAGTACTATTTTTACTTTTTTTGTAACAGTGAAAAAAAGTGTGGGTGTGGAGTAGAGCCCGTCGGGTAGGACCCGGACCCGTACCCGACCCGGACCCGCTCGGGTACGGGTCCGGGTTCGGGTCTAAAAATTTCGTTTTGGCCGGGTCCGGGTCGGGTTCCGGGTCTGAAACTTTTTTGTGACCGGGTTCGGGTCGGGTCCAGATCTGAAGAAAACTTTGATGCATACAATGTATTGTGAATTTTTTCAAAATTCTGTTCGTTTCACGAAGAAAAGAAATTAAGTGTATTTAGAAAATATACAAAAAAGCAACCAAAGACTTTTTGAATATATTATCGAAACTGATTTATCATCGTGCTTAGATCCAAAAAATTTCAGCGACCGGGTCCGGGTCGGATCCGGGTCCAACATTTTTTAAACAAGCGGGTCCGGGTCGGGTCCGAGTCCAACCTTTTTTAAACAAACGGGTCCGGTTCCGGGTACGAATATAGCAAATTGTAAACGGGTCCGGGTTCGGGTCCAAAAGTCTTGGACCCGACGGGGTCTAGTGTGGAGTAGGGTGAGCATGGATGTGAGTGTGGGTGAGAAGTGGAGGTGGGTGAAGTACGTCGTCACTTCATCCACATCCACACCCATCCACACCTACACTTACCCGCATTCAAATGCATCCACACCCTCTATCTTACGATTCATTAACCCAATGGGTAACACTTCGATTTAAAAGTGAACAGCATGAGTTGAGAAATAAAAAGCCTTCATCCACCTAACAATCATCCTCAGATATTCACCTTCTCGCCACTTTCACCTACCCTTACATTCACTGCATTACTTTCCTGCAATCGTGAATTTCAACATTCAGGGTTTATTTAAAAAATAGTGAACGCAAGAAGAAAGAATGACGATCAAAATGAAATTTTATTCTACGTCCAATAATAAACAGAGATGCCTTAGATTTCTCCAGCATTGATTTTTTCTTTCATTTTGTTCCATTGTGATGCATTAGGTGTAAAAGAAAACAATAAAAAAATTCACTGACTGTCAGTGATTTCAGACAAAACATATACTTTACCATGACATCAAACTTCTACTTGTTATAATGCTTTCTGCTGTTTTTAAAAACGCCATTACTTGTCGCGATAGAGTTGAATAAAATTTCATTTCAGATTGCAATCTAGCCAAGTGATTCGTGTGACAGATCTGTTATTTCCCATGGACAAGAGTAAACACTATCAAACTAACCATAAAGACTCTCGATCAAAGCATACCGATTCAAAGAAGTGTCTCGATTTTGTTCTACCAATCGGCGCCAGAAATAAGTGGATACAACAAATAGCAGTAGAAAAAAAACAGTTTTATATAAGATCACCAAATCAATCGCGATCGAAATCTGATGAGCACGATGCAGAAAATTCTCATCACAATCAATCTTTAACAGTACAAGCTTATGGAAGTTTACCCAATTTTAGCCTAGTATGTAGTCATTGTTTTCAGTCCCATGAAATGAATGAATGTCTTACTTGCTTTATGTGGCTCCTTCATTCTCTAGTTTGTTCGATGCACTACGACTACGAGAGAGACATATAAAACGCTCGTTCGGATAATCAAGAACAATCAGAAAAATGAACCTCAATTGATTATCAGTTGTTTCGGTGGAGCTCGGTTCTTTTCCATGTCGGAAATTTTGGAGAACGAATTTATGAATAGTATTGGTAAATTGGCAGCAACAAAAGGTAAGCTAAAGAGTTTCACTTGACGTAGCAATGACCATCGCATATTATTTGAATACACTACAGGTGTGTGGATGCTAACAACTGGCCTTAGCAGTGGTGTATCAAAGCTCATCGGCCGATCAATTTATAGACACAGAGCATTAAATGATGATACAACAAAAGCAACGTTGATCGGATTGACAGGCTATGGCACATTGGCACGATCTATGCGTGACTGCTTAGAAGATCAGGTTACAGAAATTATTCAATCTAAATTTAATCATTGATCATTAGACAGTATGTATTCTTCAAATATAGACAGGCGATATATGGAATGCGGGGAGAATATTCAAAGCACATTGGGGATGGCCATTGAGAAACGATGATGGGAATGTACTCGACAAGTATCATACGCATTTTATTCTGCTTGACTATGGCAATGAGGGACACTATCTTAATGATGAATGTCGCGCTAATTTTGTTCAAGCAGTATGTGATAGAGGCACAAGCTATGCTGTGACAATCATTGTCGAGGGTGGTCATCATACGTTAGAAGTAATTTGGAATGATTTAAAGAATAAACGACCAGTTCTCATCATTAATGGTAGTGGCAGAATAGCCGATCTCTTGGGAACGTTACTCCAGGATGCTAAAGAAGACGACACGATTGAGTAAAGAAGATTATCATATGATTGGTTTCTTTTAGGATGTTCAGGAAGAATTCTCACTATATTGTAGGCTCAACAAAATCCAAGAACAATTAAATCGCTTCCCAGCACTCAATCCGGCAAACGAAATAGAGCGCAACAAACTTGTGCAGAATATTCAGAGAGTACTAGATAAAGAGAATCGCGCTTATTTGAATGTATTCAATCTTGAATGCGACAAAGATCTAACTGAAGCTGTCTTTCGCGCTGCTCTAACCAGTTCACAAGGCAAACAGAAAAAAGACGGTGAGATGCCTAAAGAGCACGTTTTCGCAATAGTTTTTTTCAAATTTTAGACCAAATTGAAAGTCTTCTACAAATGGCTGTCGATTGGAATGATTTGGATGGTGCACATCAGCTGTTGGAAACTGACGTAAGTGAAATGTCTTTTGCAACATAGAGATATATTCTGATATTTCTATAGGTGGTTTGCTGCAGCAATAACGAACAAAGAACACACGTGATCTCAAGTTGTGTCAAAGTAAGAATCATCTATCTAATCTGATTCGATAGAAAATCTTTGTGTACGATATAGTGCACCCAAAAATGGTTCGATTACCTATTTCCACTAGTACTCAAAGCAGATGGAGATCGACCGACATTTATTGATTATATTTTAAGTCGATACTATGATCCATTAAAAAGGAAGATCAACAATGATTCTTCGTCGGAGGAAACATTCCTTAAAACTCTCTGTGATTTATATGGATTCTCTGTCAAGGAGCAGGTAGAATATTATCTTCACTCATATGCTGAGTTATTATTAGACGAAAATCTTTTACCTATACAATTATTTTTCTAGGAAGACCCACGCATACCTCTTCATCAACATCAAAAGAAGTATTTCGGTCCATATATTCAATCCTTTTATTTTTCCGAAGGCATATTTCATCGGATTCACAATGATCTTTGCCATTTGTTTTCTATTCGATTTGATAAGATAAAACACAAGTCTGAAACAAATCCATTCGATAAAGAAGAAATGCTTCGCGATCTATTCTTATGGAGTGTTTATAAAGGACGTATCGGTACTGCTTTTGTTCTTTTACTTCATATTCGGGAACGCACTGGTGCCGCACTTCTGGCTGTTGCATTAGCCAAACGGATATCATCCTTAGCAAAAGAAGTCAACAAACGCAATGAGTTTATGGATCATGCTAAAAAATATGCGGAATATGCTACCGAATGCATCAATGCTTGTCAGGAACAAAATGAAGAACGTGCATCTCGTATCCTTCTATCTAAGAAAAAGATTTATGGAGATGCAACATACATGCAAGTAAGTTGAATCGAACGAATTCTCATTATCTATTGATTATATACGGGGACTATTCTATCATAGATAGCAATTGGATCATATATCGAAGAATTTATTATCACTAAGTGCGTAGACAAAGCTCTAGATGAACATTGGTTTGCGTATCCTTCTCCCTTCATGATTCAATCATTATGGGACAAGTTTCTGTTTGCAATCAGTATTATTTTACTGGGTTTGACTGCACCTATCTTCTTCCGCACTGACTCATCGAATACATCGAATAAACAACAACAATCAGTACGATCTCTTGCTAGTTACAAAGCAATAAATGTCTTGTGATTCTAGGTAGAAGCAACTAATGATGACATCGAGTACAAGGAAACGTCAAAGTAGGTTTATGATACAATTGTTAGAAGAACATTAAAAAATAGACAGTTTTAGATTGACATACATGAATTGAATTTTGAGCTGAGAAAAATAAGAGAACCATTTCTCTACCTAGAAAAAGAAGAACGAAATTTTATCTAAATTGGTGTCCATTAGGACGTATTTTTTACTTTAATGTTTCTAAGTTTTTGAGATATATGAAAGAGGAATCAATCAAAATATGTAGAAGTCACAGCGTAAGTAAACTCGATTGAATACAACCTTAATTGAAACCTTCATTGATGTGGATGGCTATTTAGTAAATGAATAAATTCTTTTTCTCTTTTATTTGTTTTCGGCGACGCAACTTTTCAAAAAGAAAATAGAACAGGTAACTCAATTTCATTCAAGCAAATCGATCTTGTTATGGAGTATGAACGAATGAAAACAAAAATCTTACTTTTAACATTCGACCTGTATCTTTTCTAAGATTGAGTGCTTATATCTCATAGCCATAGATATACAATATCATGGATAAAAAGCAATAGCTTTGACATAAAATAATGGGAAGGAACTAGATAAAGTTTCTGCACTCGTGCTAATTTGTAATACAGTTTCATCGAATTTTGTAAAATATTTCAAGATTTCTCCTATTGTGGATATTCATCAATAAATCACAGAGGAGACTAGAACTTCGG